GGGGGGGGGGCAAACCCCCCCCCCCCCCGGCGCCATCCTCCCATCTTGGCCGACCACTTGGTCAGCCTGAGTCTATATTCGACTCCGATTCCGATGTCCACCCATCGTAGTCGTGCTAAGGGAGTTTGATTGGTTACTATCTTCTCCCGCGACTTCCCCGGGTGACCTCTCGGTCGACGTCCAAGACGCGTTCACGGATGCGTTCCGCCTCCTCCTTGGCTTTCATAACTGTCTCGCAGTATCTGATCACCATCTCCCGTTTTTTCTAATTGAGAAGAGCTCTGATCAGGGCAGGGAGTGACAAATCGTTGCCAATTCCCCGGACGAGCTCTCTTCTGCTCGATTCCCATGCTGGGCACTCCTCTATTGTATGCTGGGCTGTGTCCAGCCTAGTCGGACAATGCCAGCATCTAGAGGATTCTTCCTTTTTGATCCTGTGTAAATATTGTCCAAAGCACCCATGACCCGATAATAGTTGGATACATCTAAACGTGAGACCGATTTTACTCTCGGCCCATTTTTGGAGGTGGGGTCGTAGCACTATCCCCACCTCCCCTCCCGATTGGCCAGGTCTTCTGGTCCACGCCTCCCATGTGCGAAACATCCTATTTCTCGCCGTAGATCTAATGAGTTCCGAGGTGCGAGGAGGGATCTGTTTGATCCCCTGCGAATGGAGCTCCTTGGTGGCTTCATACACTTCTGCGTACATCTCCGCTTTTAGAATTATCGGTGGAGGTCCCGCCAGCATAGTGGCCGTAGCGAAACTAATGGTTCTGTAACCCTTAATTACCCGACAGGCAATCCTGCGTTGGGCCAATTGTAGCCGGCGCTGTATGGAGTTGTTTTTGTCCACCTTGTCTACCCAGGCAGGAGTACGCGTACAGAACCATCGAATCGAGCACCGTGGCATGTAGGCGCCTGACCCTGGAGCTGGGCCCACTTACGTTAGGCAGGATTTTGGCCAGCTTACTAGCTGTTTTCACTAGATTAAATTATTTAAAAGGCATAAACCACGAACGCCGATTCTAAATGGCTTAAATACTATATATATTTTCTTTAATCATTTACAATAATAGACGTTTCGGTCCTAAATTGGACCTTCTTCAGTATTACATTAGATTAAATAATAGAAAGATACAAAAAATTTTTTCCCTTTAAGATACATATACTGAGATAAAAATATAATATGATTCAATATAATTTATTATATACTTAAAATTACGAACAAATTCGGTCGTTATTCATCTTCATTCAGTCATACCAGTCTTTATGAGCAACATATCATGACCATGTAGTAAATTGTCAAGCGAATTCCATGATAAGCAAAACAAATTTCCAATAGCCAGCATTATTTCTCCTGACATCAAGTTACCCAGAAGTACCAATTTCTATTAAATTATGTAAAGATAAGTTATTGTTTGAGATTCAATTATTAATATTTATAGAACGAAATTGACATTATTTATGTTGATTAATTATGCATGTTGATTATGGGTTATGTTGATTAATTTGAAATGTTGCAAAAACGAATATCTAATACCTCAACATTTGAAAAGCATTGTAAATTATCATCCTAGTATTATGACGAATTCTTCTGCGAATAAATTGCAACGCATTAAAAATAATTTTACTAATAAAATAATTATAATGGAAATTCAGGACACTTATAGACAATTAGCTACCATAAGGAATGAAATTTTCAAATCACAGAGGTTGATTTTGAGGTCTTTACCTAGCCGGGTTTGTTTTTCCTTCTTTAGTAGACAAGATCACACTTTTAATAAATTATGGATGAAGGAATTTAATAGAATAAATAATAAGTTGATTAATTTAAGAACATCCACTGCTTTGCTGAAGAGGAAAAGAATTAAACCCATTGAATTAAATATTGCATGGTCGAACTCTTATAATTCAAATGGAGTATTTACTCCATCTCACATTGAAAAATTGAATTCTGGATCTGATGACAATTCCACATCACAGTCATTTTTTCACACACACATATGTCCTACTAATTTTGACGAAAAATATAACATTAGTAATATTAATAATAGTTGGATAATCAATCTTACAAATGAATTCCAGAAAATGTTCAAACTATTTTACAACTAGGAAAAAATTTTAATTTACCTAATAATACAATGAATATTGAAAAAAGTAATGTGGAGTTTGTCAAACAGATTGAGAACAATATTTTTAAATTAGAAGACAATAAGCGTAATTTAATTAGAAATGATACTGTTCATATTTTAAATGTTAATTCAGTTAACAATAACAAAATTAATTTAGAAGATCGTATGATTAGAGATGGATTATTTACCACTAAAAAATTCCTAAAGTCTCACCCTGAATTGCTTATAACTAGGGCCGACAAAGGTAACTCAACTGTTATAATGAATTGGGACGATTATAAAGCAAAAATGAATACATTGTTATCTGATAAAAAAACTTACACTGTAATTAAAAAAGATCCTACGACCATAATGACTAAACAAGCCCATAAACTTTTGACTAGGTGGAAGAGTTCGAAATTTATTGACCAATCAGTTTATAAACGTCTTAACACAACTGATGGTAATATTCCGAGAATTTATGGGCTGCCAAAGATTCATAAGGAAGGCAATCCTTTGAGGATAATTGTTAGCTGCATTAACAGTCCATTTTATAATCTTGCTCTTTTTTTAAAAAATATTATTGACAAAAGTCTAAAAAATAATTTTAGCTATGTAAAAAATAGCTTTGATTTAATAAATAGCATCAATGGGATGTCAATTAATGAGGAATATAAATTAGTATCCTTCGATATTGTTTCGATGTATACTAACATTCCTGAAAATTTAGTCATAAATAGCATTGAAACAAGATGGAATTCCATCTCCATCAAAACTAAAATTCCGAAAAATGAATTTATAAAAGGCATCTCCTTGATCTTTAATTCGACTTACTTTAAATTCGATAATTGTTATTTCAAACAGATTTTTGGCATGCCTATGGGTTCTCCATTATCACCCATCTTAGCCGACATTGTGATACAAGACCT